GATGCCACCAGATACCATCGACATCCCCGACGGAATCGGACAACCTACCAACTGGTCACACGTGACCAATTCTTGCACACTCACAATTGCTGTACACATTAACATGTCTATTATTTAAAGAATCCTTATGGGTTGCTGAGTGTGCTTGTGTACTGTCTCCTTGTTAACATCCTACCCACTGCTGATGACTGTGGTTGCGCAGGTGTGGATCACCAATGCCTACGAACACGACGGCGCAAAGGTCGCGGGTGATGAAATCTTGGCCAAGCTGCTGGGCATGGTCAGTGGCCACGAGTTCTTTGCCTATTAAAGAAAACTCTAAACCCTACGCCCGAATTTGGTTACTTGAATCGACTATTTATCAAATGTCGCCAGCCGATAGTATATACTGAAGCCACTTTAATGGATGAATGTATTTCATCTGATTGGTATTTATGTCTCAGAATTTAGAGTTTGCGGTTTTATTGTTTTTTTTTGGGTTTGCGAGTGTTGTTTATTGTTTATTGGCGTGTGTTTGTTTAGCGCATCTGTTTGGCGACCTCGTCCGCGAAGTTCTCCACTCTCTTCTCAATACCTTCACCGCACTCCATGCTAAAGTGATGGAAAAATATACGAATGACTATTAGATATATAAATGGCTATTTAAAAAGATACAGATGACTGTTAAATATATAAATGACTAATCAATATATAAACGACTATTAAATATATAAATGACTATTAAAATATAAATGACTATTAAATATATAAATGATTATTAAATACATAAATGAATATAAATGACTATTAGATAAATATATGACTATTAGATATATATTTGACTATTGAATATATATATGGCTATTAAAAATTTGCCAAAACTGCAGATGGATGAATAATAATTAGAGACGTATGAATAGCAAATAGACACGTATGAATTAAAAAAATAGAGAATACTAATAACATTTAAAGCCGTATCAATAACAATCAGAGAAATAGAATTTAAAGACATATGAAGTACAATTAAAGACTTTGAATAACAATTAAAGACGTATGAATAGCGGCGATCAAGGACGTATGAATAGCAATTAAATACGTATGAAGAACAAATAAAGACATATGGATAACAATTAAAGATGTAGTATGAGTAACAAATAGAGATGCGCTAGGATGAGTCGGAATACATTGATGGCACACACCTCTCATTAGAGGCACTGTCACACACAGCAGTAGTGTGCGTGGGTGTAGTTCTGCACACTCTCTGTAGTGAGTGTGTGCGTGAGTGTAGTTCTGCACACTCTCTGTAGTGTGTGTGCGTGGGTGTAGTTCTGCACACTCTCTGTA